GCAAGCCAGTTAGTCACTGGATACAGCGCACACGGGGTCTCAGGAGAACTGTGCATGGTCTCAGGTGGGCTGTAGGGGGTCTCAGGAGAGCTGTGCAGGGTTTATGGTGGGCTGTGCAGAGTCTCAGGTGGGCTGTGCGGGACTCTCAGGTGGGCTGTGCAGTGTCTCAGGTGGGCTGTGCGGGACTCTTAGGTGGGCTGTGCAGGGTCTCAGGTGGGCTGTGCAGGGTCTCAGGTGGGCTGTGCAGGGTTTCAGGTGGGCTGTGCAGGACTCTCAGGTGGCTGTGCAGTGTCTCAAGTGGGCTGTGCAGGGTCTCAGGTGGCTGTGCAGTGTTCCAAGTGGGCTGTGCATGGTCTCAAGTGGGCTGTGCGGGATCTCAGGAGGGCTGTGCAGGCTCTCAGGTGGGCTGTGCGGGATCTCACTAGGACTGTGTGGGGTTTTAGGAGGGCTCACCAGGGGTCCAAACGGTCTTGTGGGCGGGTGCAGGTGACATGGTTCCACAGGTAAGAGGAGATTGGCGGCCGGCACTGTAAACAGTGCTGCGAGGTCCCCCGAAGGCTGCCATGAGGACCCCTGCAAGAGCGGGACCTTCTGGCAGCTCTTAGCATTGAGCATTTTCACGAGTATGAGTATCAGCCCTGCAGTATGTATTTAAAATGTCACTCACAAATGGCAAGCAATCATTGGTCAGTGCGATCACCTGACCAATGAGAAGCACTTCTGACCACGCTAACCAATGAGAAACGCTTCTTGCTAAGAAGCGCTTCTCATTGGTCTCTGATGAGCTGACCATACTGAGGTGAGCGCTTTTTGTCATTGCTAAGTGCGAGCGGTTTAAGCACCTGAATAGGTAGCTTTCTGAAGACTCCGTACAGCCCACCAGAGACCCCGGCACAGCCCACCTGAGACCCCGCGCAGCCCACCTGAGACCCTGGAGACATCAGGCCACCACTCCTGAGCAACACAGAGTATGTAGCTTCATATTATTCTGCATTGCTGTATAATGTATTCCTGGGATTTGTAGTCCTCTGTAGCTGGTGGTATTCTGCATTGCTAATAGCGCAGCCTATCAGAAGCTGGAGGCAGATTGGTGGAGGGTAATTCCATTTTCCCCAAATTCATCTGAGAAAGCGGAATTACCCTTTAACTGTTTCTTTTTTCTTTTTGGGGGGAGAAATGTATTTTTGGTCTGCAGTACCTAATTGTGGCCACTAGATGTCACCGCCCCCCCGACATTTACACCAGACAATTCCAAGGCCTACAAGTAAGTTCGTTATGTCTGTTTGCGGAGCGGTTTTGCAGCGTTTGACGAACATTCGACGACAAACAAGAGAAATGTATTATTACCTTTTACAAGAGTGTGTTTATCGGTTGGCGAGGAGCGGGCAAGGACGCGCAGCTTGGGCCAGATTTTATCCAGACGTTCTTGTTCTATCTAAGAAAAGCAAAAACCACATGTAAGAAAAAACCCCGAATCACTGACTCTGCAATGTTAAAGAGTTCCTCTGGATCCAACCGGCAAGCGGCGTCTCCCTTGATCTTATTATAGTGCGAAGCTGAACCCGAGCTGGGGATAATAAAGAATACATGAAATACAAATGCATCAGCAGCAGCCCAAACACGGCGGGCCCAGGGGCGTAACTAGAAATCACAGGGCAAAATGTTGTATGGGGCCCCGTGACTTCTAGTTATGCCCCTTGCAGAGCCCACCTACCCCCCGGGTCGCTATGGCGATTGTTACGCCGCTGGGCGGGCCTTATTCTCATACAAGTGACCATTGTTAAAGTGTATGTCTGGGCAAATTAAAAAAATATATACCCTCGTTTCCCCGAAAATAAGACCTAGTTGTGACCATTCCCGGGGCCGGTAGTGGCATAATGGGGAACTTGAAGAGCCATGGGAGAGAATCAGCGGTGCCAATGGATGGAAAGGTACGGCACCCCCTGATCACCCGATTCTTACCTTTGCCATTTTGCATTATTTAATTTGGATTTGCGTTAATTTTGGATTGTTGTACATTAAAAATAAGACCTACCCCGAAAATAAGACATACCCCGAAAAAAGGACCTACCCCGAAAATAAGACCTACCCCGAAAATAAGACCTACCCCGAAAAAAAGACCAACCCCGAAAAAAAGACCTACCCCGGAAATAAGACCAACCCCGAAAATAAGACCAACCCCGCAAAATGAGACCTACCCCGAAAATAAGACCTACCCCGAAAAAAAGACCAACCCCGAAAAAATGAGACCTACCCCAAATATAAGACACCCCCCAATAAGACCTACCCTGAAAATAAGACCTACCCCGAAAATAAGACCTACCCCGAAAATAAGACGCTAGTGTTTTTTTTTTGAGCCCCTAAAAAATATAAGACAGTGTGTTATTTTCGGGGAAACACGGTATATATTGAACACACCTCCCCTATACAGGAACCTTTCCCATGTCTTGTCTCCTTTAAAAAACCCGCACGTACAGAAACAGTTGATCCCGTTAGAAATTCAGGGAGCTCCTCACTTCCTGTGCACTGTCTGCCCCTGATGTGTCGGTTTGTTTTCTTTAGAAAGCAGCCACAGCCCGAGTAGAAAAGCCTGCGCCCTGCCAGCACGCTGCAGAGGAGGACCCTTGCTCTCTGGGTGAAAGCAGTGGCCTCTGTGCAGAGGACCGCTATGTCCCTTGCTGAGTCAGACCTATAATACTTCCAATGTGTGAAGCCCATGCTCCCCGTTGATTGGAGAGTTCTAGCTCTTCAGGGGGCGTGTCAGGCCTCTGCAGAGAGGCCACTGCTTCCACAAAGCGAGAAAGGGTCCTTTTCTGCAGCATGCTGGCAGAGCAAAGGCTTTTCTACTCAGGCTGTGGCTGGTCTCTACAGAAAACAGACTTTGCACACTTTCTTTATGCGCCCGGGATGTATTTAGCCAACACACTCCCAGTGTACAGCACGCACACACCCCTCGGCGCCATAACTTGTTTCCTCAGCTTCTATCCGCCACCTTGATAGCCATGGCAGCCACCCCAAAAAACCATGTACTTCCACACAATTCCATACTCAGTGCATGAGTAGCCAATGACCAGGCTTGAATATGATCACATGGGAGGCAGAGGGCGGGCCTACTTGTGTGCAGGCGGTGTATGGCGGGTATCTGCCGAGAACCTTGGTTGAAGCTACAATAGGGCCAGTTAAAGGGGAAGTACGAGGTGAGTGATTTCCCCTCATAGTTCTAGCCGACGTGTGACAATGAGACTGTCACAGGTCGGCTCAGTAGATTGGGAAGTGAGGGAACGCATACCGTCGCTCGCTCACTTCCCGATCATCTCCCTGCAGAGAGCGGCCACTGTCAGTCACGGCTCCCCACAGGGATTCCCCCTCCCTCCCCGCTCTGATCCTCCAGCGCTGAGTGGAGGAACGAACAGGGGAGGGGGCGGGTACAGCTGGCTCTAGATAGGCAGAACCAGCTGTCAATCACGCAGCTGGGCGGATCTCGACTGTATTGCTTTGATCTGTCCCGGCTGTGGCGCTCTCAGTATATCGCAGGCAATAGCTCTCTATATACTGAGCTTTGGCTGACGGGGGGAGGTGAGTACATGCCCACCTGTGACCCTAAAGAGAACTATGGAGAACTATGGAGAAAAAACACTGACCCCATAGTTCTTTTTTAAAGGTGTAGACACGGGGGACACAGTTCTGAGCAAGGTACGGGGGACCTCAACGTGTTCGAGCAGAAGACAAACCTCTCCCTTCTCGTTCCGGATTCTTCGGTTGAACTCCTTTCCTTCCAAGCACAGGAAGTCCTCCCCTGGCTGGATGATGCCGCATTTGGCCGCGATGGCTCGCGCCGTGTTGATGTTATCCCCTGTGACCATGCGCACTGTGATGCCTGCCCGCTGGCATTTCCGAATAGCTTCCGGCACCTGCGGAGTAAAAGTTGAGTTAGGCTCCCGGTGACCTTGGAGACGTAAAAAATACCATTCCGTCCAGATAAAGATTCATTCATGGAAATCGTGAAATATATACAATTATATACGCCTGGGGTCCCGGGCTGTCTTCAAATCAGCTCCCCTGTACTGAGATCGGGAGAAGGAGGGGTGGCAGTACCAGCCAATCGGGTTCTACTGGACTGCATAGTAATACTCAACTAACAGTTGTGGAGAGAGCAGAGGGAGGAGCTCATCCATTCTCCTTATAAATTTATATACCTTTCCTCTTTTTGTCACCTCTACACATCCCCCACCCTTGGACAAGTGCATTAGTTTTCAACGTATGGAGAAACAAAGGAAACATGTGCTGAATGTGCCGCTGTGTGCAGGAGCAGTGGCGTAACCAGAGTTATGGGCACCCGGGGCAGAATTCCCCCCCCCCC